AGTTATATAAACCCTGTTTTCTTTTAATGGTCTTGTTTTAAAGACAAAAAGAAAATGTCTTCTGTATAAGCAGGGATTACATTTTCTGCACCATCATTTTTCATCATGCCCTCTTATATAAAATCTTCCCCACCATAAATACAGGAACCAACAAATCTTAGAGCCCAAGATCAGCTAAGAATTGGGTGGCAAGTTAATGCTTCCTGTCTTTTAAAGAATACTAACTTCGCTTCTTTGGTCAGGTGCAAAATCCTAGTTTTTGGCCCCTTAGTACTGGTTTTCCGGTAATAAACCAAAAATCAAAATTATCAGCCATGCTCTTTCATTTTATGGGGAAGATTGAGAACTAGAAAAGCAAAGCTTCCACAGGCCTGGTGCAGAAGTAGCAGGGCCAGGGTGGGTCCAGGTCCTCACCCGAGGATCCCCACCATGCTGAGACCCCAGGGGGGGTGGGGGGCACTGAGGACATTTTGTGGACTTTCTGTAATAATTTGCCTTCTAACACATTATCCGAGATGTACTAGCTCAAACGGAGTCACCCTTGGGAATGATTCTTGACACGGCTCCTTCACCCTTTTGACAGTTTTAATGTTAGGAGCTAGTTTTATACATGTACATTGCTTTAGGTGGGAAGGTGTTCTGTTTTAGAATCTGGGTTCCTCTTCAAATCTCAGGAGGAGTCAACAAATCAGATACTGAGAAATGAAACTGATAGAAGCTTGTGTATGATTTTTATTTAAAGCATCAATGGGTAATTAGCATTTTTATCCACATCTATTTTGTAAGTGTCCCCTAATTATTCCTGCGGTTCAGACTTCAGAATGCTTGAGGTAATTATCTGCAGGCAATAGCAACTAGTAGGCTAGCACAGGATACTTCACAAACAATGCAGCATCAACAGTCTCTCCTTACGTTGCCCCAGGTTTGTTAATTAATCTTTGATTGTTTCACTCATTTATTAAATGAACACTTGAGTACTGTTCTGCTGGGTAGGGGTCTTTACATAGCAGTGACCAGGAGGGAGTCCACGCCTTCATCCTGCCGTGGCCTGGTGGGGTTTTCACAAGGAAACGAGGTGATTAGGGTGCGATGGTTGGGCAGAAATCAACAAGGGGAGAAGATAAACCGTGGACAGGATGGCTAGCTTTGTGTGGGGTCGAGGGCAAAGACCTCTCTGGAGACGTTGACAGCTGAGTGGATGCACATTGAGGCCGTCCTCTTAAGTGCAATAAATAGGACACACGTGTGTAAGTACCGAAGAGTTTCTCTAGCGTGAGAAATTGAAAGTGTAAATAAGGATGAAAATGATTAAAATGAATAATTGATAATTTGAAATAGGAACAAAGGTCCAAGGGTTTGGGGATGGTGGGAGGGGAAGGGGAAAGGGAAGAAGGGAAAGGAAAAACTATGAGAAAGAAAAAAAAATGGAATCAAAGTCTGTGTAAATAGGGAAGGGTAGAGGGGGTGAAGGGTGCACAGGGAATGGGAGAAAAAATGAGAACTAAGATGCATCAGGTACAGGTACAAGCACCCAGTGATAAATGTAAATGTACTGTATACCTAAAATGTACCAATAAATATATATATATATAAATAAAAAAGAGGGTTATTTAAATGGATTCCCAGAGAGAAGGATGAGCCCAGTGTGTGAAGAACATCGTAGCCAGAGGACACAGCAGTGGGGTGGCCTCTGGTCCTGGCTGAATATCTTCCTTATATACCGTAAGAACACCATGGTGTTCGCGATGCGTTTAGGTGCAAAGTGGCTTAATCCAGGTGATGTATGATAAGCAACAACAGAAAAATTGGCGTCTTTGTCTCCACTCTTAAAAGATCAGAGATACAAGAGAGTAATACAAGAAGCTATTTAGCGACCTCAGTCTTGCCTTTGCGAGCACTTCATGGTGTGACACCAGCTGTCAGTGTGGGGGTCCCGGAAGACAGACAACTTGGCCGGGAGTTGAGAATTGACGTAGGCTTTGAAGGATGAATGAATTTGGATTGACCCAAAGAAGGTGGCAAAGGGTGTTTCAGAGTAGAGAGCTGTGCAAGTGAAGATGCCAAGGTGGACTGCACTGGGACGAATGAGTCTATGAAGTCTAGAAGCGACAGCTGGAGCAGTCTCATGGGTAGGCCTGCTTCGTGGGCAGTTGAGAGGTCAGTGGAGCAGTTCTGACGTCAGTGAGAATGGCGGTGGAGGCCGGAGCAAGCAAGTTGCGTGGTGGATACAGAAACTGGTGATATAGACACAGACTCATGGGAACCTAGGGAACGAACAGGAGGCTGGACAGGAGGATCTTCTTTTTTATCATCCACGTCCTTGTATCAGACGATAGTGCGCGGCCCGTTCATCTGAGAGAGCGCTCTGTATACGAGCCGAGCCGTCTGTGTAGCTGCGCGGTGCTGCTGGCTGAAGGGCGTTGAGTCCTGTGTCAGGATGCCCATCCTCCGGCCCAGGGGCCAGCCAGGCAGATCGGCGACGGAGCCGGGAGGCAGGCTGGGACAGCAGATCCCGACACTGTTGGACATGTTAAGTTTCAGAAGGCAGCAGATGCACCGTGGTGTGTGCACCCAGGGAGGACAGAACTAGAGCCAGCGTGGGAAGGTGGGCTTCGCAGTGCACAAAGGTGACAGGAACTGAGGGCTTGGTGCCTGGAATGCCTGGAGGGCGGGAGGGAGTGGGTGAGGAGAAACAGAAAGAGACAGGGAAATAAGAGCTGAGTGGGAGGAAGGCAGTCGTATAAAAGGCCAGAAAACAAAGACTCTCGGGCACTCACCGTGGGGCTCTGGGGACACCACAATCGAGTCACAGAGGCCGCCACTAACCTTTCACAGTGGCGATCTGTGCCCTCCCTGGCTCTTCGCTTGTAGTAATTTACTCACGTGTTTCCACAGCCTCGAAACTGACTGCTGCTCTTAGCACCGTCTTACAGATAGGAGGTTTAGGCACATAGAGACTAACATGTTCACAGCGGGGCTGTAATTCATGCCTCGCTGCTGGGCAGCTCCGAGCCACCCGTGGCCCAGGCATAACTGTCCCCGCTGGCGATCTGGAGGTTGTGGGTGGGTGGCTAGCGGTGCCCACTGCCCAGGGGGACCGTCGTACCCATACCCTGGTGGTGCAGGCCGGCGGGCACGTGTTAAGTATCTTCCCCAAGACTACCCCCAATAGCCGAGATTCGAACAGGCAAATTCTGTCTGCATAGCCTGAGCCCTGATGCTTATGCCATATGGCTGTATCCGAGATGCTGTTTTAATTACATAGTTTCAGCTCCTGCTTTATGGACGTGTCTGGAAAATGAGTTAATTAACAGTTTAAAAGTTGGGTGGGAACCAGACAGGTAGCGGATGGCTGGGCAGTGATGGGATAAACCCTTGGAGCAGAAGGCAACCTGGAACGCTCCAGGGGAGGCAGGGAGGGAGGGAAGATGTACCTTTCGATCAGTTTCTTTCGCCTGTCCTTCCATACGCGCTCAGCTCTTGGTGTAAGAAGTTGTCCGCTCCGTGACAGGAACAATACTGACCGGTAGAAAGACAGCACCCCCGCTGCTAGCACTTTCTCTGTATTTCAAATGTGTGTGTGCATTTGTGCACCAGCAGCGTCAGTTTATCTAAGTTGATTGCCAAGCAAAGTTATGTTCTGAAATTCACTTCTTTCTTAGCTTTCATTACTACGTGAGAGTGAGAACCCTAAAGAGGGCAGCTGGTAGCGCAGAGTGGGAGTTACTGGGTAACCGCCGCTCAGGAGCCCAGGTTGTGGGGTCTCCTGGGAGCACAGGCACCCTGAGCCCTTCCCTCCCTCGGGCGAAGACGTGTGTGAGCTTGACCGATGCTCCCCCAGAGACTTCCACTGCCCAAGGAGAGACTGTGCTCCATCCTCCTTGCTTCTCAGGCGCCTCTCAGGCTCCCTTGTTTGCAGAGGAGCCAGAAGAAAGCCGAGAGCCCCAGCCCACCAGGCGCAGTCATTCCATTTCCCGGAGAAGGGGCCAGGCGCCTGGCGGTGTGGTAGGGAAAGCCTTCGTAGTCCATCCTCACTGAGTAAGGTAGTACTTGTGTTGGACCTAAAACTATGTGATATCATCTGATTAACCAGTTCTGCCCAATTGAATTGGCTGCTCGAAAACTTTATTTCCCATTCTAACAATAAAATTTCTGGCCTCACATTTACGACTGTCCATGACTTACAAGGGTCGTGTAACGTGACAGCATTCTGTCCGTAGGCCCTCCCCTGTTCTCCAGCATCCCTGTCCTGTGACCAGGCAGGCCACCCTATTCCCTGTGCATCCTGCTGCCTCCCCTCCCATCTGTGCCTGGCTGATTCCCGCCCTCCTGTCCCCGGCCCAGCTCCATGCTGCGGGCCCTCCTGCTCCCATGCAGCCTGGTAGAGCTCACCCGACACCTGTGAGGCTCTGTCTCCAGCTCCCCTTTCATCTGTCTTCTCCATATCTATATGCATGTGTTACCTGCCCGTCACTCTCTGGGCAGAATCTGTAACTACACAATTTTTTGCCTGTATCACCTACACTTAATCTCAGGGAAAACTAAAGCTTCCAGGGCTGAGAGGACTCATGAGTCCCTTGTGATGTCTTTCTGAAGCCAGTCCTGTCCCTGGGTCCTTGCAAGCACCACACTGAGGGCAGAAACAGCCAGGTCTCCTGGGTCTTAGAGGAGGATATGTCTCGGTGGCAGTGGCTCACCCGGATTGCCTGTGGCCCAGAGCCCCAAACCATAGCAGTTGAATTGGGGCGGGGGGTGCACACATCGGTCCCGTCACACCCTCCCCCCTTAATGCTGATGTGCAGCTGAGACCAGGACCCCCAGCCCCCCAGAGCATCACAGCTCCCGGACCACTTACCTTACTAGGTGATCCTGTTAATTTGAGAAACCTTTATTATTTCAGGTAAAGAAATGTGAAAGTAGAAGAATAGTAAATGTGAGCTAATAGTAAGAATATTTGTTTTGCTTGCAACAGCAGCTTACATAACTGTTTAACTTTTCAGATATTTCGAAAGAAAGCAGTGGAACTTGGGGTAAAATTGCTACCTGCATTTCATACTCCTTCTGGAATACCTTGGGCATTGCTGAATATAAAAAGGTAAAACTCTTCATTTTCAACAACGTATTTTAAGGTGAAATAACTTGAGACTGGACTCCCAGGTCCACACCAGGTGGATAATTACTTGAATGATGCTGGTGACCGCTGCCCCCCCAACCCCCCAGGAGCCTTGGGATCTGTCTTTGGGTTGGAAGCAATTAGCTTCTCGGGGCTCCATAGCTGGACGAGCCTGGGTCACAGCAGGGCTCTGAGAGAGTCACACAAACCAGGCGTGACCTGGGGGTCTCCCTTTTTCGGGCAGCGCTGAATCAATGAGGCTCTCTGTGCATCCAAAGCATTTCATTTCCCAGGAGGCCAGCCTAAGTGCGGTGTCTTCTCCAGCTTAAGGTCCGGGGGGAATCTGAGAAACAGGACACCAGGGCCAATGAGTGCCCCAAATGAGGTCTGGTGTAACTGAGGCAGGGGACCTGGGGCCACTGCAGCCCACAGCTGACAGGGGTAGGGGAGCTGCCTTCGCGTGCCCTCAACCAGGCTCTGATAAAAACCCTAAGCCGAGCAGACGCTCCGCGCTGTCCAGGAAGCAGTCTGCTTCACCATCGCTGAGGTGCTGCATTAATAGACATGCTGTCTCAAGCTTTCCTTCTGCTCTCCTTGCTCCCTGTAAATTACAAATGGCACATGGGCCTCCATGATGACGGCGATGGGGCGACAGCTGGGATGTCACCAAGCAGTGTGATGGCTCTTTACACTGCCACCCGCAGTCCCCACAGCGACCCAGGAAGGCCGGACCACGGGTTTTGCATTTTGTTTATGCGGAACTGAGTTGCAAAGAGAATGAGTGACTGGCAGAGCTCAAACTGGAACTTTTGCTGTTTCCTCATGTGCTCCCGCGCGCGCGCACACACACACACACACACACACACACACGGAATGCCTCGTTTCAGAAACACCAAGAGGATGGGTGGTCTGGCAGGATGAGTGCACATTTCTTCTTGGTTATTCATTTAGTGCATGCTGTCCTGAGGTGGATTGCCATCTGATTGTTTTCTCTCCATAGTAGATGGATGCAGGAATCCGTGCCTTGTTTCCACCAGTGTTTCTGTCTGCACCCAGAGGCACCTGTCCAGGAGGGCATGCTCTGCTGCGTCTGTGGCCCTGGGGTCTTCTGGTCAGGTCTGAGCTGGGCTGGGAGGAGACTGGGCTCTGCCTGGAGGCCAGGAGTTCTGCACTGGGCTCTTGGAGACCTTCTCTTGTGCATCCTGTCTTCAAACTTTGTTTTTATAGTTGGCCTTCTGCCCCCAGTCCTCCCTCTGCTCACACTAACACTGCCCGGTTAACTTACTCTTCTCCTCTGAGAAAAGCGTAGGACCACGGGAGCCCACCACACTGGTAGCTACTGAGAGGCGGCCACGCGGAGCTTGGGTCTGGGCCGGACATCTCACTCTCCAGCCTCCTGAGCTGGACACCAGCCAGTGCCACAGCTCGGAGGCCCTTGGGCACTCACAGACGGCAATTCCGATGAAGCCTGGGCTTCTCCCCATTCACCGCCTGCTCCTGAGCACACCGATTTATTCAGTTTCCGAAAGCTAAGAGTCCTGTCCAGGGAGCCCCCTCAGCTCGCGAACCCCGGGTTCCCATCCTGGGAGGGAGGAACCCCAGCCCCGGCCTCCCCATTCGGCGTGGCAGCTCCGGTTGCTTCCCAGAAGAGTGAGGTCGGTGAAGGCTGCGTAGACCGCTCTCTCACGGGTGGAGTCTGCCGTGTAAAGTGCCTGCTGCTATCTGACCTCCTAAATAAGAAATGGGTTCTTTGGAATATATTTACCTTTACTAGTGCGTATTTCTAACAACCAAGTGGGCTTTTCCTTAGTGAAATCTGGCTTCAGGGTACCGTGGAGTATTTTCAGCAAATAGTAGATATTTTTCAGTACTTAACGGAATCCTTATCTATTAAGTTCTGAATCCTCTATTTCTTCTATCCATACCTGTCAAGAATTCATTAACTGGGGCATTCAAATTTTTATAAGACCTTAGTTTGTACAATATAATACACCAGGACTTTATGTTTCATTTGAAAGATTACAGGAAAATTGTATATGGTGAAAAATAGTGGTCATCTCTAATGTTTCCAAACCTAAAGGAAATTGGTAATTATTTGGCAGCAGAGAGGAACACTTGATTTTTTTCTTGGCAACTTGAATGAGTTTTCGTTGCGTATTTCATCCACCCTGATCCCCATTTACCGTACAGCAGTGACTCACCCAAAGGCACACAGAAAGCCCTGGCACGGTCTGCAGGACTGTCTGTCCGCTGAATCCTCTTCCCTTCGCCCAGCCAGGGGTGTTCATTGACCTGGTCCTCGGCCCCATGGAGCCAGTCGCCGCCTCCCAGCGTTCCTTGCAGGGGAAGGGACTGTGTTTGTGTCCATGGCCAGCGCTGCCCAGCTGGCTGCAGAGTCACCTGCTTGTGTGTGCTACTCCCGGCGAGGCCCGTGGCACAGGGCACAGTGGACACGAAGCTGCTTTTCTAGTTTTTGAGGACTGTCACTAGCAAAAGCTTCAGAGGAAAAGGGAAAAGCATGTCTGGCGAAATTACGTCGTCTTCATCACCTTCCCGGCATGAGAGAATGTTTGTAGCGGGTGTCTGGGCAGGGGAGGGCTGCAGGACGCGCTGGACTGGACATGCACTCCCCGTGGGCTGCTGTGAGGCTGGGGAGCCAGGCTGGCCTCGGGCTGCGATCCGCTCGTCTGCTCTTCCCTCTCCACTGAGGGTGAGGAGGGTTGTCCAAGCCACTGTTCACCAACGTCTCTGAGGTAACAGACGTGTGCGCTGTCCACACTCCTCTGGCATTTAGGTTATTTCCCAGGTGAAATCGGGCTGCGCTTCTCCTTGTCAGAAGTGAGCGGCTATCCAAGTCCCTGCTGGATGACGCTTTTGTTCCATCCTGGAAAGGTTGTGTCCTCCCCACTTTACTCCAGAAGATACAGACACGCTGCCCCTGAGGGCGGGTGCAGCCTAATTGGGGAAACAATATAAATGTCCGGTGTCCAACTGTACACACATGTAATCCGCAAACGTAAGGTGCTCGGTGCCAAAAAACACTAAGTGCTCGCTGGGATGAATTCAAAGCAAGAACCATTTTGAATTAGGAAGGTTTATGGTGTATTTGAAGCCAAAATACCAATAAGACAAATTGGATTTCAGTATTTGTACAAGCTGAAAATACGCAGAGAACCTAAATAAACTATTCATATGCTCCATTAGGAGCTCTGTCCTAAAATCTGTTCAGGAAAAGAATATTTTTTTAAATTGTCTCTTCTGCCACAATAATAAAATAAATTCTTTTGGGGGGGGGTACCGCAAATCAGATTCGGGACCTTGTGCTTGTGAGGCAGGTGGCAGAACCACTGAGCTAAATCCCTGGCCCAATAATAAATTATTAACTGAAGAGCTACCATACTAAGCTGTAAATTAATTAGAGCTGTGATTTAATAGCAGGTACAGTAGTCATTCGGCACTGACCAGACTAGCATGCTGGCTTCACTAATACAGTACAGCCTTGCACCAAGGGTGCGGTTATGAAACATTCTCTTAAACAGAAACCACTGCCTCTCCCACAGATTAAATTCTGGTATAACTCAGTTTTTCTAATGTGAAAATGTCAAAGTTTGACGTCTGATCTTGTTACCACTATTAGCAAGAGGCCCTATGCATTTTTTTCCCTCCATCTGGCAGCAGAAAAAAAATCACCTCTGTGATTTGTAAAATCAAGCATTTCACCATTTTCATATTTCTAGATATAATTCAAGCCTGGATATAGAGCAGACTTAGATTAGATTTTGGGTTTCCAACGTGTGTTCTTAATTTAAAATAATGTGGTCAGTGCTTGCATTCCTCATTTGTATCACGAGGCAGGTGTACAGTCCAGGCACTGCTAATAATTAGCCAGTCCCTCTTGGTGAACGAGTTACTTTCGGCTGTGTACTAGTTTGCCGTTTGCTCCTCACTGTGGACTCCTGAGTGACGGTCACCAGGTAGCGAGACTGAGGCCAAGGGCCCCACAGTGCATGCTATGACTGGTGCGTCGGGTGCGGGGCCTCCTCAGCCCGCTCCACCAACGCCCTTAGGCAGCAGGGTGCTGAAGGACTCGCAGCTCCCTCACCTGATTTTACTTCCTGCCTGGCAAAGCTTTATTTATCCACTGTTCTGTTATCTGACGAACACACACGGTGTCATTAGTTACTTGCAGTTTATATTATCGTAACTAAATTGGAAAGTCCTTTCCCTGAAACAGGGCCTTAATTAAGAACAGCACCTCACTTGATACTTCCCACCAGTAAAAAGGCCCCTGCGTGAAGCCTGGGACGTGCGTATTATAACCAAAGGAGCTGGCCCTCCTCCTGGGTTTCCTCATGCTTTGGCCATCTAAAGTGCTGAGACATTAAATTATATAGCTGGTTAGTTTTAATAGACTCAAGCTGCAAAGACAGTTTAATGGGTTAAATAGTTTTAAAGTATCTTCCATATATTTTTCTGTTTTTACTTGACAGTTGACGTACAACTGTCTATGTTATTCAATGTGCTAAGCCTTTTTCAAAGCTTCTAGTTTCAGATTTGAAACTTCGAGACAAAATTATTGTTTAATTACATTAAAAATGTTCTGCTGCAGTGATATAAGCCTAAGTATAAATAAAATCAGAGCTTCATCTTACAATTTATGTTTTATTTATATGTTTCATGAATCTGTTAAGAATTTAAAGAAAGGTTTTATCAACTCTAGAAAAGTAAGAGAGGTTACAGTCAGTTCCTAAGTATTTTAAGCTGATTTTATGGGGTTGTATTTCCCTCCTGATTGGATGTTTTATTATATTGGGCTTCCATCTCGTATTCGGTTTCATTCATGTGGCCATTTTTACTGCTCTGGAAACAGTAACGGGCCTTGCTGGAGGGTTGGCACAGTGCGTGCACAGGTTAGGAACGGCACACACCGGAATACTCACTGTTGCTGTTGTGAGTCAGCTCTCCCCGGGCCTGCCAGTGTG